AAAACTAATCAAATTATTATCAAGAATGCTACAACTGGGTCAAATCACAGAATATAAACAAGCAAGCAGAATAAATAAACACACATACTCAATATTTATTCTGAAGCAACGGAAATAAATGCTTATCAAAGCAATAGCGCCACCTGGCGAACTCTGAATACAGGTCAATACAAGGTCAGTCTGCCACCAGTGCAAGACTGAAAAGAAAACGATAAAATATCCAGAAATAAAATGACAAAGGAACAATCTTACTGTTCACAAGAATCAGAACAAATAAACAAACAAGGTGAAAGAGGAATAACACCGAAGCATGCGTCAGTGAAGGAAAAAACTCCCAAAATTCGGAGCCAAAACAACACGTTCCCTAACGTAATGGCGCTACGAAAACGAGGATGAACATGGCTGGTGCCTTTGCAGGGGGCGAGTGAGTGGGGGTGCACTATTGGTGATCGAGAATTTAATGAATGGAAGTAATGGACTAGGAAATAATGCATAGGTATTGGTAATCTGTGTAGGATGCAGGCAGTAGACTCGCCAAATTTATCGGCAAAGGGGTCCCTCATAAACAGTGGAGATGGTGAGTGTTATTGACCCTGGTAGAAACAGAAGGCATAAAAATATTGAGAAGGGTTCTCAGATTTTGCGAGGAAGAGGAATTGCTCTTGAAGCTGGGCTCTAGCAATGAATTTCTTGAACTAAACCCATCAGCAGGGATTATACATTTAGAAAAGGAAAAAATTTAAAGACTTTAATAATTCACTTCAGGTATGACCAGGTAGTAACCTCAGTGAGAGAAGAAGTGTTGTCCAGCTGGAAAGAATAATCTCCCGAGTCACTAGAAAACAATGAACACACGGGTGAATCATCATGGGTGCAGTGGCCCAGAGATAACCCAGAACAGCTGTATGAAGGAGAATGACTGCATCACCAAATCGAAGAAAGGGAGCGAAGGCATGGACATAGTCATGTTTCCTGCTGCTTCAGTGGGAGCCCGAACACGATCTGGTGAGGCGTTGGCCGCCCGTCCAAAGTGCATGGCTCAAGTGTTGCTAGGACTGTTAATTCAAGTCTGAGATTGCTGGCAGCAAGTACTCTGTGTGAAACTCTGGTCGATACTGCAAGGAAAGAAAATTTCCCCCCAGAAGCCAGATACTGTAAACGGGATCTGCAGGCATAAAAGCAGAGGAGTAATCCATGGTCGTTGAGGAGCATGGACTCATCCGGGAATGGGCAAGTAACGCTAGTGGCCGGTAGGCTATTATGGTATATTATATGACTGTATGATGAAACCAGCAACCTCCCCGCGATGCACGAGGAAATGCTTAAGCAAAGAAATTGTCATGTTTGGTAGGGAAGAACAGGGCAGAAAATTGCAAATTGGACACAGACTGTCGGAAGCTTTTGTCTGAACTGCAGATGTAGAACTAAAATGCATGCAGGAACTCCATCTATCTTAGGGTGACACTGCAGTCCTCCCACACAAGAATGCTGACAAATTCTCGACATTTCTGACAAGGAGAGCAAGCCAAAACACAAGACTTGTGAAGATCTTGGCATTATAATTGATGTCTTTACAGTTGAAGTGAACATCGACATCAAAAGGTTGATGATGGGCTGCCACAGGATTGACATTTACTTGTCCTTAACCACGATTAACATAAACGGTTTAAAGTGTTGGAAAAACAGTTGTACAGCAAGTACTAAGTAATGGCACGTTGCTCAGAGAAAGTGCTTGTACTCAGCGGTGTGCCCGCTGAAGGGGAGAGCTACACAGGGAATGTGGGACATACAGTGTGTGCGGGGTGTTGTCATGGTCTGTGTTATTTTCAGCAGTTATGCTTGCACATGCGCATTTGTAGCTATCGAAGGTGATGTTTTTCCATGTACATGAATACAATAAAAATTTAACCAACCCACGAAATAAATCCCCAGCAGACACTAACAAATCCTTACCCAAAACTACCAAATTCCCATCTTACCCTACCTAATTTCCATTAATTCCATGCCATTCCATCCACTCCTAACCCTCTACAGCTAGACCCCAACCCTTTCCCCCACCTAAGCCTACCCGTAGTGCTGCAGCCAAACCGCTGAACCAAACCAAAATTGTTTAACGTGGCTTTTTGTAATCGAACCGAACCAAACTGGTTGGTTCAGATGTTCAGCTTTAATATGGCATGACATTGACAGCGCACAGAATGCACACAAGAAAACGTGATAAAAAGCAAACACAATGAAAAATGGATAACGAGTTCCGCTGCACCAGCGGTCGGCACGTGTGGGTTTACACACGTACGTGTACTATAAATATACTGTACATGTACATACGTGCATATGTACAGTAAACTTACAATGACCCCACATCATGTGATGGTTGTAAATACCATGTGGTGAGAATTCACTAATAATCAACTGAGAACATGCAACGTACAGCCTTTCCGCACAACAATTCTAATTTGTATATTCCAATTTAACATTATGTTTGCCAATCTCCGATAGGCACGGCCTTATGTTCTATATCATAAATGGCCGTGCAAAACAAATTTTGATTAGATAGGAGAACTGATTTTGCCAGGCAGGCCGTGCCGGTGCAGTGCTCCGGCATGTGACAAGATTTGGTTCATATTATCATTAAACATGTAAAATACACATCAATGCAATAATCCTACATAAAGTTAGAATATTGAAACAAGCAAACAAACACCCCAACAAACAAATAAACAACCCAACACCCCAACAAACAAACAAACAATTAAACAACATATCAGTTACCCGAGACATCCAGATCACATCACTTTCCAATGAAATCACTAAAGTTGCCCAAGGTGTGGTCTACCAGGTCCCTAAATACAAATGTCCTACCTCATTCAATTCCCAAATTACGGTACAGCTGAAAACATTTTTTTTTTTAATTTTGACCTTAAGTTTCTCATAATTTCAGATTTGAGTACATCACAGTTATATCATGACAGCTTACATATCTTGGTATCAAGGAACCAACAAGTACAAGGTTTCACATTAGTATCCTCAACTGTTCAGAAGATATTGACAGGTGTGTTATTTTAGAATTTTTCTAAGCATTTAAAATGCACCTAAACTTTGACCCTTCATTAACCCTAATCCCCTGGGCCCTTTTTGCTAGGGACCCCCCCTCAATCCCCTGAAATTTATTGAAAATGTTACTTGGAGGTGTGCCTACTGCCTCAATCTTTCAAAATCCTCTGGCAACTCCTGTTACTATGTTGAGGAAGTGAGACTGGCATTCTTGGGCAGTGCAGTTGATTCAAAAGAAATATCTGCCTGAATTTGTGCAGGACTAAGCAAAAACAACACATAGTCTAACCCACAACCTTCATGCAAGGCATCCTTCACAATAAGCCATACACTTTTGCCATTCACCCTCAATCCTCTGAAATCCTCCAAAACCATCTGAAGGAGGGTTAACCCTCCTATGATGACATCACTCTTTGGGTGAGTTCTGTACATTGCGGTAACTCACCCTCATAGGGATAATGATATGACAGATTGTACTGTGTATTAACCCTAACTGCCCAAAACCTGCCATACTCCAACAGCAGGTTTTGTGAGGTTTTGGCAGGTTTGGTGGCGTACCTGAGGAACTTCTTGTTGAATTTTGTGAGACTTGGGATGAAAGGCCCAGGGAGATGGTGTTGGATTCTGTGTGAGTTGGGACACACACAGGTCACTGTGTGCAGTGTCTGGCTTGCTGTACCAATTGTTGAACTATGCTTGATTTTGTCAGGTTTGGTACTGTTCAGTGCAAGTCATTCTATACTGCATAGACCCATCCATACAATATCACTCAAACTCCAACGGGCTCATTCTGTTGGAGTTTATCAGGTTTGGTACAGTAACCTGCATGTACAAGTACATAGACAAGTACATGAACCTGTTGGATTTGGATTTGTGAGGTTCAGTATGCTTTCTAGTGCAGGAGCCTAGGGGGTTAGGGCTAAACAATTGTGCCTCACTGCTTTGTGTAAATAACTGTGCAGTAAACCAACTGTATCAGTTATGACAGTACAAAAGACCCAGTGTTATTTCGTGCTGGCAACCAATACACTGTAACTGTTGGCATGTGAACATTTATACTGTTAAACCACAACAGGGTTAATCCCCAAAGCAAGCATCACTTGACTTTGACACCCAGACAAACTTATTGCCCGACCTACAATTTGTCTGATACCAAAATATGAACACCATACCTGGATTAGTTCATAAGATACTGCTGAAAGAAGCCAGTTTTGGGGGGATTTAAATCACTTCCAATTTGATACATGATGGCATCATTGTGATTCCACACTTGTACAGTGTATGCACTGCAAGGGATTCGGGTTAATATTTGTCACTACATCTTCCAATGCGCACATCAAATTTCTATGACGTCATTGCATCAGAAATTGAAATTGTCTGACCACCTTGTGTTTGTAACACAACTCTATAACTAGAACAAACACATTTTATCTGTATTTTTCTTTAGCGGTCTTAGAATTCCACATTAACCATATGCTGCCGGGGAACCCGGTTTCAGGTACCTTGGGTTTGTATGCATAGCCAGGGCGCTTTTAAAAATGCAGTGCACACATACAGGAGATTTTCAAGACATTTACACCCACACAATTGACTCTCTGGTGGCTTCTCTAAGCTGACAGGTAGCCTTCATTGACTCCTGAATATTTCAGCCAAGCCTGCTGCCCTGTAAAGAGAGCGCAGAATTGTGAGGTGTTGTGTAATTTCCTTTGTCCCCAGTGAATGCAAGTGGCGTCTTTTCAAACGCGGCAGGATTAGCATGCAGCAGTGCTGTGTGGGGCCCTGGAGCACTTTTGTCCATGGTGCTAATCCCATGGGCGCACTATGCCCAAAACAGAGGTATACTGTTTAAAAACAGTGACAGATTACCTTCGAAAAATGCAAGCCGAAAAATGATGGCACTTCCCAGCAGCAGCAGGTCTTTCGTTCCGAGTAGGGTCTTTTGTTACTGGACCAGCTCTTTTGTCCCATTTCAGGCACCCTGGCTCTGTGTAGAAACCCATGGTGCTCGAAACAGGGTTCCCCGGCAGCAAATGGTTAAAGCAAGTGTATTTTCTTACTTTTTTATTTTCTGCTTCAAGATGAATCACTCGTTGATTGAGTGCTTCCAACTCTTCATCTCTCTCCCTATCACGTATCATCTGAAGTCTGATTGAATCCCCAGATCCTGACAGACCATCCAGACAGAGAGGGGGCACAGAGAAGGGTATGCCATGGGTAACCTGGCTTGTGGCAAACCCAACAGAAATGGAACTGGCATCAAGAGATCTCTGATCATGTGATGTAGACAACATTGCCACTGGTGGAGCTACAGCTGGATTATGTGTAGGACAGTCCAAATGCTGCAGGTCATGAGGAGGCTGGTTTATAACAGATGGGTTAATGGGATCAGGAGGGGAATCACTCTCACTTTCCAAGGGTATAAATTCTGCATTTTCCAGCTCCTGAAATAAGAGGCAAAATGAAAAAAACTAAAGGCATTTAAATTTTCAAGAGTACTTTATCTGATCTCATCACATCGTTCAGTGGTAGACACATTTGTGCATTGGTTCTTCAGTCTGCTTATGTCAAAACAAGCCAAGGTTGTGGAAGACAGCATGGCATAAGTTGTTTTCTACAGATTGTTTTAAGTAAAAGCAAAATCTACAAGCAACAGTATATTAATGACACAGGTCACAAAAAGTAATACAGATACAAGTTATTTGAATACAGCCTTACATTTTACAAAAGAACATGAAGGTGTGCTGGAAGGATAAGAGGCCATCTCGTTATTCTCAAAGAATTCCAGACAGGTCACCATTTGCTGGCCCATTTCCTACACCTATGACCCCAAAAACGAGGTTTCAAGTGCAAACACATCTTTCCTGCCCCACCACACCATTGTTCGTTTCTGAATCATGACAATTTTCCAGAAGAGACTGAATTGGGCTGTTGCAAACTGACTAGAAAAGAGGTGTTCCCACAAAAAAAGAAAGATAATTTTTTAAAAAGGCCCAAAATTTTCCCGCTCTTGCTTCAATCACAAACAACAGTCCCAAGCTAGCCAGCTCTGAAACAAATTTTTCCAAACCCTCTTTAATTCATTTACAAGAAACCTGACAGCATAAAGAAGAAACCAGTCAGAGCTAAACTCAACCAAATAAAACATGAAAACTCTCTCCCTTCTGATGAAAACTCAGACAACATGCTTGAATTATTTTTTTTCTTGGATTAATAACTTCTGTCCAATTAAGGTTTGTGTATAAAAAACAACAGCATGATTAAGGAATAAGGCATTTCCAAAGTGTGAGTCCAATCTAATCATAATCCAATATCAACACAGCAGCTAATGAGTCCATGAATGTATGAACATGCATTTCTGCAATTTCCTAAGAACAAACCAGCCTCACTAACAAGAAGTAAACTGGTTTCATGACTTGACACTAGAAACGAAACTGTACATGACCTAATGATTCTCTGCCAAACATTTCCATCCTGAATGAGCTTGATACGGAAATCACTTTGGCTGTAGTCAATCATGCCATTGGCGAGCTTAAATAAAAGTCCCTTAGGTGTTGATGGCATTCCCCCACCCAAGGTTCTGAAGTGTTTGCACTCCAGTAAGACCTACATGTAACATATGCAAACATAATCACTCTTTACAGAAACAAAGGTAGCAGATAAGATGACAACAACGGCGGCATTCCCTATTGAGTATCACCAGCAAGGTCCTTGCCTGTGTGCTACTTCCCAGGTTGTAGGTCCTCGCCAACAGAGATCCAGTGTGGATTTTGCACATCTCATTCCATTGTCGACACAGAGTTCTCCCTGAGACAGTTACAGAAAACATGTATCGAGCAGCAACAACAGCATCATATTCATTGACTTGTGCTCCATCCTTGGCAGCTGCCATCCTGCAGCTCTGTTACAATCGGCGCACAGCTAGTCAAGACAATATCACTAATACTCACCTCAGCTAACCATGGTGGCATACTATCATCTCCCTTCCTTGAGTTTGTATCACTAGAGCCTGTGATTGCCAGCACATCCTGCTCATCTTCATTACAAGTTACAGCCCCTTCACTGTCAGCATTATCAGAAATGTAACTTTCACTAGTAAAGACGCTATCATCCTGACTGGGTTCTGATAGCTGAGAGCCTGCAAAAACAAACAAAATCTCCTTAATTCTCCATAAATGAGAAAATACAGATTTGCCAAGAAAGAGTTGTAAAAATTATGATATAAGTTCACCTTGCAAAATAAGCAGGGGGTCTGTACTAGAACAGCTCTTAAATTTCTGCATACAAGTTGATAAAATAGAAGCATGAACACCGATGTGCTCTCCTAATGGACAGTGAATTTAAAGACTCCTTAATTTAACTGATTCAAAGTAAACTAAAAAAGTATGAGATACACAGTGAATATTTTCTTAAATGGTATCTTTAATTAAATGCGACAAAACCAAACAGTAAATTCCAGTTTAAGAGTTATATTATTTTAGAGTTGCTCAAACTGTGAAGAATCCATGGGTGAGGTGTTAAAAAACAAACACTGAATTATTTATCTTATGGTATCAACTTATTCGGTAACCAGTACATGAAGTCATTACAACAGTGGCACCACGTTTGCAAAGGTGGTACCAGTACACGTACACCTGTTTTTTTGCCTCTTCAATCAAAAAAGTGCTGTAATTGGCCAAAACGTATGCACACATGAAGTTTAAGAATGTGCCCCAGAGTGTGGGGCCACTGCAGTACTGGTATCTCTTCACATTAGTCTATACTAGAACTAACATCCCTCGGTAATTAGTGGACCACTTCTGGTTTATATTCCACTTGTATGATATCCTATATCAAAGCAGTACACAATACTGATAGCTTTGAGGTTTATGGTAAACAAGCATCTTCAGGTGATCTGTAGTGCGTTCCATTTTCCTGAAGTAAAAACATTATTTTAATTCATGTTTACCCATTGATTCTGCAACTTCAAACTAAGACTTGTGCAACTGACCTCTATTTGAATTTCAAATAAACTGAAATGTCATTTGTACATTTCAAAGTTCCCCTTGGTGAAAAGTTTGTGTCCATTCTGAATCTTACATGCATAAAGTACAGGAGTAGGACACAAAACTCCAGTGGTTGATAGAATAGCAGTTGCCAGTTTGATGTGGCAATGACTGAAAATACCACTGAACCACCACAAGTAGAAAGAGGCCAATAACAATACAAAAAGTGCAACGCTATAATTTAATGAGTAGAAAAATTTACCTCTGCTTGAAGTGAAGCTGTCTTGGTGAGGAGAGCGAATAGTTTTAGATTTCAGAACTTTTTCTACATAAAGAAAAAGATGGAAAAACAAATATGTTGAGAGTAAACCTGGTTTAGATGGATTTAGATTGATACTGAAAAGTGTCAGATTGGACTGATTATTTTACCTGGAATCCAACAAAACCTGACTATGTGTTCAACTTGTTTAAAATGCAGGAAGTTGTCTGTCATAGCTACATGTAATAAACTGGCACAGGTAGTAGGGTTTTTTTCATGCAAGACAACTGGTGACTTACTGTATCTCACCAAATGCCATTTTTAACTGCTGTAGTTAACTTATGATATAACAAATTAACTGTCTGGCAAGGCATTGCCAAAGCGCAGATTTAATTTTAAACTCCCAAACTAAGTGCAGCACAAGAATGAGGCTTTTTAGTACACTAACAAATGTGTGGGTTGGACACATGATACAGAATTTACAACTACCGGTAAATACAGACAATTGATCTTGGAGTTGAAAGATCTGTTATGTGTACCACATTCCTTGTTCCCACGAGGTGGTTCTTTGCTATGTTCACTATATGAGAGTAACATTTTGGTATCAAAACATGGGTACCTCCTGAACACATTTCCATTGAAACTTACCAACAATGACAATACAATGCCAATGTCTGCATGATACATCTGACACAAAGTGTAGTGACCCAAATATGGGCTTTGGCGTGGGAACAGCCATTTTCTTACGATGGGTAAGGCTTGGATCAACAGGTATGCCCAGTCTACCACTCTCTACATTCCCAAAGGAGTAGATTTGATTATCTGTTATTGATAGATATATAAAATCATTAGTTTCGACAAATATCAACATTTTGGAATTAATGGTTTTGAAAAACTACTAAAAGTATTGTCCAAAAGTCATGTTACCCATCCCATAATACATGGATTGCACAGTATCATAAACTTGAGCTCAGGTTAAATATTTACATAATTGGTAGTTTTCATAGGATTGAAGACAGTGTTCCTCTAGATTAGACATTACTAGAATTCCACCTCTTGGAGGCGGTCAATTGTAAGTGAACACAACAATGTCAATTGTGCATGTTTCCTTTGGTCCCTGTTCAAAGGTTGAACTTACCCTTGGTTGCAATGACTGTAAAACCATCCCCACATGCAGCACGTAGTACCTGTTTACTACTAAGTACACCACTGATTTTATTGACTCCTGATCTGGGCTTGCAGTCTCCAACACCCAGCTGACCATGCTTGTTCAGACCAAATGTGATTAACCGACCAGTATCTTTGAACAATGAAAACAAATTGGGAATTTCAATCACAATTCATAAAAATCAAAGAATTTACACAAAGGGAAAATAAACCAAACTGGTCATGACAACTAATCACAGCTGGTAGAAAGGAAACTTTTAATCCAGCCCTTTGTTGGTGGCTCCTTCTGGTGTGTGCAAATGGGCCACTGAAGTTCGTCTCTGTGTACTTGAATGGTAATGCTTACCAAATGAAGCTTCCATTATGTGTTGCAATACACGTTCTTGCACAAACATGGAATTTAACTTCTCCATTATTTTTGTTTAGGGATACTTTTGTAAGGTCACAGGTTCAAATACCATTCCAGTCAATTTCTCTGCAAATCTCTACAAATAAGTACACTTTTACCGTACAATAAACTCCAGAAATCTTTCTTTTGCTTTTGTGAAATGACAGCATACAGTGTAGATTGATTTCATCTGAATTATTTGAATTGTGGAATAGTTTGTTTTATGCATCTCTCCTAACCCACCTCAATCCTCCAAGTCCCCTGGGTGGTTTTGGAGGATTTTGGAGGACTGAGGATGATGATTTGAACACTGGAGGAGTTTGGAGGATTGAGGATAAATGGTGATTGAAGCATGGAGGATTTCGAAGGATTGAAGATGAATGCTGATTTAAAAGCTGGAGGATTTTGGAGGATTGAGGATGAATGGTGAATGAAGTACTAAAAATCGGTCAAACAGTGGTGCATGTGGTCACACATAACACTGTTCACAACATACATGTACCCAAGGACAGTGTTACGTTGTTCACTGCTGCTGGTCATAAATTGCACAAGCTTCAACTGCAGTGTGTTAAAACAATGTCTGCTTTGTTTATTACAAATGTAAAGCCCTTAGCCAACTCTGCAAAAAACAGCTTCAGCCCAGCAACCAACCTGATATGCCCAACTCCCCCCCAAAACAAAAGAGACACCCCCCAAAAAAAAGTAGGGCCATGGAGGATTGAGGATTCGGGTGCCCTTCATTTTGTACATAACCCCCAAATTTAACTGGAGGATTTTGGAGGATTGAGGATGAATGCAGTTTTTAAAGTGGGGCAATTGGAGGATTTGGGGGGATTGAGGATGTGCCCTAGTAAAAAGGCCCTAGTGGGTTAGGGTTAATACTGAAGTAACTTTTGCACTGTTCTTCAAAACCCTTTTTAATAGCTGCAGGGGTTCACAGGTTGACACAAGCTGCATGCTCTAAAGTTCCACTCTTCTTCTACTCTCTTACACTGAGTTACCAAGCACAAACCTTTGAAGGAATTTGAACACGCACACTGTACTGAAGTGTGGGAATCCCTGAGCAAAAATGAAAAGGCAATGCCCAAGAGTTCACTTCTCAGAAATGGAACTTCTCAAATTATATTTCATTTACTCTAATTACCAAATGACGTTTTTTTACTTACAATATTTCAAGCACCAATGCAAAGGGCCGATACCTGATTTTCCTGAATAATCTTTATATTCTATGAATTACAGGTTTAAAAAATGCATATTTTCAGACAAAGTCTGTCATCATCATATTAGGAGTAAATAACTACTGATGAAGTTTGCACAGTTCATAACTACAAACGATACCTACAAACTGTGTGCCACAAATTGAAACAGTAATGAAACCTACAGCTATTAAATCTTCAGTGAAAGCGTGTCAATTTGATGTCAACCACAGGCTTAAAATATCTCTCAACTAGCAAAAATGGGTGCATGGCCATAATTTCTGTTTCAAGAAAGGTGCCATTTTTAAAAAGTACGGGCAAACTACCACATAAGCCACAGAGGGTACTTTCTTTGGCACACTGTTCAAAAACCACTATTAAGCAGAGTTCATTGTATGTTTTCCATTAACCTAGTAAAATCCCCCAGCCCATTTTGCCAGGGCACATCCTCAATCCTTCAAAATCCTCCAACAGCCCTCCTCCAAAATCCTCCATTATTTCTTGAATATGTTAAAAAACAGTAAATGCTTCGCACTATTTCCATGCACCATCCATGTGTTACAATCCATAGTGTCCAAGTTATATCCTTCACACCAACATCACTCCACAGATGTGTACACAAGGTTGACCTACTTCCAACAATTTCATGTTTAGTCAGACATCAACAAACTTTCTGTACCCAGTTATTGATTTCTATAGGCTCTGCCAGTCAGCGTCTGAACTAGAATTGTTCCTGATGACCTCTATATTTCAGTGTAAATAAGGGAGTAAGTATGCGCTTGACCGGTCTTAAACATGTGTTTAAGGCTGGCTCGGGAGAATGAGTGGGACAAATGCTCAAATAAATTTGTGCTTGGCCAGTCTTAAATGTTAATCTAAGACCAACGGTCATTAAACATTAGTTTAAGACCAGCCGAGCACATATTTATTCCCATTCGTAAATGAAGGGATTAAATGAAAACTTACCTGTTTGAAATTTAATCCAAATTTTATGAGAAAGGGCGAGCAAGAGATTATGTGAGATTCCAGCCACGCGCATGTGAAGTCATAATTGAAAACCAGATATGAGGTCAGATGAAAAACCTTATCCCAGTTACAACTGAAGGGATCAATGAGAACTTGTCCTATTGATAGAGAAATAGGGCGGGAGAGGCGGGCACGTAATCTCTCGCTCACCCTTTCTCATAAAATTGGGATTAAATTTTAAACAGGTAAGTTCTCATTTAATCCTTTCATTTTATTTCAAAATCTCGCGAGAGTTTCTGTGAGATGTTGACAGGTATCTGGCCGCATATCCAGTATGGAGTCTGTATGGGCGATTCTTTGGCATAGGATAACACTTCACAAAACCAAGTACATGTGATTTTGTGGTACACTAGTGTTTTAATACAGCTGTTAAACTCCAACACACGGCTTTCGTCTGTGCCATACAAACTGTAAAAGAAAAATACTGTTTTTCTTTCTAGCTTAAATGTAGCTGTGTCATTAACTCGCACCAAACATTAGTGACAACTGTCTTTGACTACCTATCCAGGCTCCAATCAAGTGATCACTGTATACTTATGTGGCAATCACCGCCAACTACAACACCTGTATAAACATTGCCTTCTGCAACATGATATATCAATCAAGCAATTCCAAGTTAAGACATGAACAAATACAATCTATAGTCCATGGTGGGTTACAAGATGACTGGAATCGCAAAATACACGTCCAATATTCGATGACGCCAGGGAAGATCAATATTTGTCTCCTCACTAATGCTTATGACATACCGCATCAGCATTGAACCATGGTAATGCTCTGGAATTACCCAAGAGACAGCCAACATATAGGAACCATTAGGTCAATAACAATATATGGACGGAACTATTCACAGACAATCCATGTGAGTCATTTAAGCACAACTGTTAAGCAATGCATGTCACATTTCCTGAGGTGCCCAAGTGGTTTGTTGTAGAACTTCTGAAAGGTGGTCTCTGATGCCCAACCTGCAGTCTGAATGATATCAGGGATTGGGCATTCTGTTTGCAGCGGATGCGGCAGCTGGTCAGGTGGAGTGAGCCTTGAAGCATGAAGTGTCCACACCCGCTTGAGGCAACACTATATTGATCCATCTTAAGACAGAGTCCTTACTGACAGCACCGTGTGGGAGCCTGTAACTGATTAGAAGCTGGTTTTCTTTGCTTTGACCCTGATTCCTCAGCGAACTGGTTCGTGCCAGGTAGTGTTTAACCACTACCAGCCGGGGACTCCAAAATCGGAGCTGTATGGTTTATATGTGTGGCCAGGGTCTCCGACCTCGGATAAAGGAAACAGGGCCCTGTAACAAAAGACCGTACTCCGAACAAAAGACCAGGCTGCTGGGCATTACCGGCATTTTTCACCCTCAAAAGTGGTGATAATCCAGCGTTATTTTGAACCTGTACACCAGGGTTTGGGGCATTTAGAGCAAGCGGATTACCACC